GTTACTCCCCGGAAAGGACAATAGCGCGTTCGTTCCCCACCATAGACACCTGCGGTCCAGAGTTTTGCAAATATCTCAGCAACGTTGTGGTTGTATTTCGCTTAGTACCCTGCCGCGAAATTATAATGGGCAGAAAATAAAAAGGTATAACATTGTAAAATTATGGAATCTATTGAAAATATCACAATATGAAGGTGAAATTCGAAAAATGAAAGAGAATTTCTTGGGTTTTGGGTATCAGGGTAAAGATTACCTCAGTTGCAGTAAAGAGACTAATAACTGGAGTTTTCATTGTTTTGTTATCCTACATATATTGGTACCAAACTTGTCTGAGAGGATAGCAGCACTGCTTCGATACATCGGTAGGCCACTGCGAGTCAGTGTAAAGGTCAGATATGCATGCATTCACTTCCAAACGGTGTGTAATGAAATAGAGTGCATGGCGCATCCCTCAGGAATTGGTCAACGCCAAGAGCTTTATCCATTTTTTATACAAATAACAATGAAAGTAGTAACTCAGCTACTACCATTGATATTTACCAATTTCTCAATCTTCCAGCAAAGAAAAGAAACAAAGGAAACATTCGATGTTACTCGTTTAAATGTTTGTGTTATCGTCTGTGCATTAGGGCAGCAATAAACTCTAGGTGAATTGGGAAAGGAAACATTTTAAACCACATAGGAGGAATTAGAATGTTCAGTTGTTTGTTTTTCCTTTAGCTTGAAGATGCTACTTTGTTTTATATTACATAACCTGCCTTCACATCTGCTGTGTCCACCCCAAAATTTCCTTTATTTGATTGGTTCCCTCTCATCCATCATCCTCGAAGAGCTTCAAACTTTTTGCGTGTGGGTTCGGCCGCTGTCTGAGACATTTCATCTGCATTATGAATGCCCCTCTGGAGTCCTGGAATAGTCGTGCTAGAGCGTTCCCACGTGAATTGGATAGAGTGAAATGGTCTCCGATAAGCTTAGTAACGATTTCCTGACCTCATGGGGTTAGGAGAGTATGAGTGCGGTACGGGGTGAAACTAACACTGTTCTCGGGGTGAACGGTATCACTATATTGTTATTGAGTTAACAACGGATGAAGATGAAATAAAATAGAATATTTCGGTATTTTACTTCTAAGGAGTAGTAGGGTTAAAATTTGCTCCTAACGTACTAGAATCCACATCCTCATTTGAGCTCTAAGTCATTGTTGATAGATATGCATATTTCGACGTCCTCTAATCAGTGTAACATAATGTTGAGATGTACCATGTTATCCGTTGGCGGAATGGAGGATATTCGAAATGGAAGTGGACAACAAAACTGTTGTTTAACTCAGAAATAAGTTCTGATGGAATTGGTTGCATTCCCTAATTAGTCTTGAGAACCTGAAGAACTTTGTAAAGTTGCAAAGTAATGGCCGTTTGTTTTCCGTTTTCTTAGTACGTCGGTGTGTAACAGAAATGGGAAGTAACCACGACGAGAAAACTGGTTTTTAATCCGGTTGCCCATCGGTTTATACTGCATGCAAGTGGCTAAGTAGCTATTTCGGCATTCCTGGGTTGGAATTTCTCATGCAAACGTTTGATCCCAATAAACAAAGCAAGTTGTTTTTGGAATCAAAATTTATGTAGATGAATTATGCGGAAGGACAATGGCCGATCTTGAACAACTTTGAAAAGCTGTAGCTCAGTGCAAGACAGTTTCATTCATAAAAAGAAGAACAGTGGGACAGAAGAACTACATATTTTTTATTAACAACGTACAAGTTTACCTACAA